GATTTTCCATAGTGTTTTTCGATGTTTTTTGCTTTTCCGCCTTTTCGGCTTCCCGACGCTCCAAGACGGCCAAAGAGGCCCCAAAGACAGCCCCAAGATGGCCCAAGAGGCCCCCAAGACGGCCTCCAGACGGCCCAAGACGGCCCCAACACGGCCCAAGAGGTCCCCAAGACGGCCCAAGAGGGCTCCAAGACGGCACCAAGAGGGGCCCAAGAGGGCGACCAAACATGTTGAAACTCTAGCTTTCTGCCCCCAGGAGCCCCAGGGGGCCCCAAGAGTGCCCCAAGAGGCCCCCAGAGGCCCTCACGAGGCCGCCCAGACGCCCCAAGGAACCCCCAAGAAGCACCCCAGAGGCTCCGAAACGGCCCCCAAGTGGCTCCAAAACTCGCTTTTCACCCCTTCGCGGCTTCTACTACCCCCAGATTGGCATAAACAAGGGGTCGGCGGTGTGGCGTAAGCCTAAGAATCATGACGTCGGGGGTCTGGAAATGCCAGCCATGACGGAACCGATCAATTATTGAAGTGAGAACTTCGTATCCAAACCTGCCTGGCAAAGTAGGCGAGAAGTTGCTGCTCGGCTACCAACTCTTGCACCCCAAATCGCTGAGCAACAGCAACACCTGTGTGCCACGATCGCTCTTCTCACACGCGCCGATTCCAGCTCCGTGAAGGAGTGGGGTGCCCCGCGGGTGAAACCCACGTTCAGCAGATGACACAATCAATCTTGGGGCCGCTCTGGACCAGTCCGCCGACCCCCACTTGCCGGGGGTGACAAGGCGTGTGAGATGATTGGCTGTCCCCCTCCCCCTTTCCCCCCTCCCCTGGGGATCAAGATCTCGTTTGAGGGGGGGGGGGGGCGGGGGGAGGGTTCCGGGATCTCGTCGGCGCTTCTCCCGGGCACTCGGAGCCTCCCAATCCGGCCTCCGCCACCTCCACGCTGCCCGAGATGCCTTCCGAGACGGCTTCAGAGAGGCGCCGACGCATCCGAACACCCTCCAAAGCACTCAAGGTGGTCTTAGGACCCCCCCAGGAAGCTCCAACCACGCCACACCACGGCTCTGAGAGGACCCCCAGCGGAGGCAAAAACAATGCTGTTCGTCTGGTGATTGATGACTTTCTCGCCCTCGCCTCGTCGGACATCCGAAAACTCCAAACGGCCCGACGCGGCCCCAGAATGCCGCAAGACGGCCCAGGAGGCCCACCTAGACGGCCCCAGAGGCCGAACAAGAGGTGCCTTGAGGACGACCTCGAAAGGTCCCCAGGCTCTCCTCCACAATATGGTCCCCAAGAACCCCGACATGCATCCAAGCGGCCCCGAGGGGACCCCCAAGAAGCCCCCAGGAAGCCCCGACCGGTCCCCAGAAGCGCTTCAGGCGCTCCGAAAAGGCCCCACAAAGTCTCCAACAGACCCCTCAGAAGCCCTGCAACACACCCGCCTTCAGGATCCGAGCCCATCACATGCATCCAAGAAGTTCTTGACCCACTAGATAGCTTCCAAAAACGCCGCGAAGACTCGCTATTTCGGGGGGTCGGCGGACTGGCGTAAGCCACTTGAGTAAGACGAGGAGGCCGAGAACATTGCCATTCTGATGCGTTCGATGCGTGCGGTCGTCTTGGGCATGGAAACATGGAGAGGTCGTCATAGGGCTCCTCGAGGCCGAGTTTGGCACACCTTGGGGCCTTCTGGGGATGCCCTGGAGCGTCTCGATGCTCCTGGACCACTTTGGGTTGTCCCCCACTTTTTGGGAAACAAACTATTGTTTTATGATATGTTGTTCATTTTCATGTTTTTCATTGTTATGTTTTACTTTTTGATGGGGGATCTCTGCCTGGGGCCCTGTTGGGTCGTATCGGGTTCGTCTTAGCATTGCTCTGGGGCTGCCATGGATTGAGGGGCAACGATAGGGGGGGACTGGCACAGGGAATCGGCGATACATCGCCGATAGATCGGCGATTGGCCCCCCATAGTGAATCCGCACCTTCCTGGGCGGGTTGTGGCTAGCAGACCCCTATCGGCGATCACTGGGCGATTGGGGGTCGATGCATCCCCCCTATGCCTATCCCCCCCCCTATCGTTGCCCCCGAGGATGCTTCTTGGGCCCTCTGAGTTCCTCCTGGGGCCATCTCGCCAGCCATCTTCGACCGGTCCTTGGCTGGGCCTCCGGCCCGAACGTCCCCGTCCCAGGGTGCCCCGGTCTCGCACGCACCGCATCGGAACAGGGATGTGGTCGGGCTCCAGTCTCGCCTCCCGCGTCTGGCTCGGCTTGGGCCGCCCGGACGTCCACCTGGGGCCGTCTTGGGCCAACTCGGGGGCCACCGTTGGCCCCTCTGGTGGCCATCTTGGGAATTCCTGGGGCCGACTTGGGCAGTCTTGGCGTCGGGTATTCCGGGGCCCTCTCGAAGCTTCCCAGGGAGCTCTGGACCGCCTCAGTGCTCTCTAGGGGGACTCCGAGGCCGCGCGAAGCTCTCCTGGTGAGCGTTCTCTTCTTCGGCGTTTCGGCATCGGGCGGAAGGGGGAGGGGGGGGGGTGCGGGGTCCGGCTCGGGACCTCTGCATTAGTGCGACTGTTTGCAGCAGTGCGTCCCATGCAGCCCCCCGCCCCTGAGTTAGGTTGGTCCCATGGATTCTTGCTTCCTTGTGGAGAACTGGTGGGTGGGAGGCCTGGCCGGCCGACACTCCTCGGGATTGCTTGATCTTGTCTCCTTGCTGTAGCGTTCCTCGGGGCGGGTTTGTCGTGTTTCCCTTACTGTGGCGTTGCTTACTGCATTCCCCACGTTCCTCGGGGTAGCTTGGTCTTGTTTCCTTACTGCGGCGCTCCTCGGGGTTGCTTGATCGTTTCCTTACCGCGGCGCTGGTTACTGTATTCACGGGGTTGATACGTCCTTCTTTCTTACTGTGTTCCCTGGGTTGTTTGATGCTGATTCTTTGCAACATTCCCCGGGTTGCCTGGTCTTGTTCCCGTACTGCATTCCTCCGGTTGTTTGGTCTTGCGTCCTTCCTGCCTTGCAATGCCTTGCACTGCCAGGAAACGCAGAGCAATGCCAAGCAACGCCAAGCAAGGCCAAACAAATCCTTCCTTGCTCAGTTACTGATTCAAGACATTTTCTCCGAATTGGGGTCGCAGCGGGTTCAGGTGAAAGTGTGCTGCCCCTGGGTCCGAGGACCCGGATGCTAGAACCACGCGGGCGCTTCTCGCGCGCTTGGACTCAAGCGCAGGCCAGGGAACGCTCAAGACTCAGCGGATTCATGCTACAGCGCGGAGGTAGAATGAAGAGGTAGGAGGAAGAGGAGGGAGGAGGAGCAGGAGGAGGAGGACTTGCCTCCCACGGCAAATCTTTACTCATGCTTCGTCCGTATTACATTGTCGGCTCCGTGCCCGCGGACGCGTGTTCCCGCCAGGAAGCTGTCTGGCGGCCTGCCCGCCAGAGGCTTACACGATGCTGTAGATTGGAGGCCTGGAAATGGGCATCAACACCAAGACAAGGGGTTGCCTCCACAGGGGGAAGCTGATCCTAGATTTCGGTGTTGGTGGTAATACTTCGGTCGTCTTCCCTCGGTGGAGACACACCGCCGATATTGGTGTTGGTGTCAACCTCTAGGCCTGCGGATATACTCCACAGGGCCAGCCAGCTCAGCATCACAGTCGGACCATGAATGAGAATTGTGAGCACGAAGAGAAGGCGCCCTGGCGGCCAGCAGACGCAGCGGCGCGGGCAAGCGCCGGCGCGAGAGGCGAGGCGGTGGCATCAGGAGGCGAAGCCCCGCCAGCCGAGGGGGCAAGGGGAGCGGAACAAGGGGGTGATGGGGGAGGGGGCATCCCGACAGAAGGCGTGATCGGAGATCGAAGCGGTCTACCTGGAGGACTCCCAGTTGACGGGAACATGCCCTCCCCAACCGTCCGTTGGCAATCCTGCGCTTTCACTGTCCAGCACGCAGTCCACGCCTACCTTGCCCCCGTGGTTCTCCACGGTCGCCCACCGCGCTCTGGCCCGGCACGCCTGGCTGCTGCCGCCCGCCGGCTGCTCATCGTCGAATTCTTCGACGTCAGAGCATCCCTCCTTCCTCTCTTCGGCCTCCCACCTCCCTCTTTGCCTGGTGCGGATTTCGCCGCCTCGCCACTTACGGAAAAGTCTAGCACGCAATTGCAGACGCCATCAGCGTCGGCGTTGTACTCGCGATAGACGTGATGCACCACGACCTCCAGGACACCCGCTGTCCCTTGCAGCTGTGCTGGGAAAGACGGGCCTTGCTCATAGGAAGGCTGAAGTTCCGCCGACAAACACCTCCAGGAGGAGGAGGATTAGAAAGAGGAAGAGGAAGAGGAGGATGAAATGAGGAGGAAGATGAAATGAGGAGGAGGAGGATGAAAGGAGGAGGAGGAAAGGATGAGGATGAGGATGAAAATGAGGATTAGGATGAGGATAATGACGATGATGATGATGATGATGATGATGATAATAATGATGATGATGACGACGATGATGATGAGGACGAGGATGAGGATGAGGATGAGGATGAGGATGATGAGGATGATGAGGATGATGAGGATGATGATGATGATGATGATGATGATGATGATGATGATGATGATGACGATGCTGATGATGAGGATGGTGATAATGATGATGATGAGGAGGAGGAGGAGGAGGACGAGGAGGAGGAGGGGCAGGAAAAGGGGGAGAAGCAGGCGCAGAAGCAGAAGTGAGGGAGGAAGAGGAGCCAAGAAGAGGAGGACGCGAAGGATAAATGCCTACCCCTCGCCTGCAGTGGCGCCACCCCCCCTCCTCCTCCTCCCTCCCTCACTCCCTCCCTCCCTCCCTCCTCCTCCGTCTCCTCCTCCGCCTCCGTCTCCTCCTCCTCCTCCTCCTCCTCCTCCTCCTCCTTCTCGTCCTCGTCCTCGTCCTCGTCCTCGTCCTCGTCCTCGTCCTCGTCCTCGTCTCCTCCTCCTTCTCCTCCTCCTCCTCCTCCTCTCCCCCTGCCCCCCTGCCCCCCTGGGTCTCCTTGTGGATCCTCTTCAGGCGGAAGACCTGACCGAGACTGGGCTCGCGAGGGTGCGAGGAGGAAGGCAGCGCTGAGGAGGAGGAGGGAGGAGCGAAGCTGGAGGAGGTGGAGGTAGGGAGGGAATGAGGGGAGGCAGGGAGGGAGGGAGGGAAGGAGGGAAGCAAGGCCCCCTCGCTCCGCTCGCTGCTCCCGCCGCGACCTTCCTCCCCCCTGCCTCCATCCCTCACTTCTCGTCCCTGGCACGAAGGCAAGAGATGAATACTACTCCCCTCTCTCCCGTGGTGACGTCCTGGAAATGTTCAGCCCCACTCCGCGCACTGTTTCTTACACAGCGAAGATTCCCGGGAAACGGGTTTTCGCTGTGGCTTTTGTTAAAAATGCTGCTCTCGCTGAAGCGCTGGCCTCATGTTCGGCCTACCGCTCGTTCCGAATCGTGCTCCCGCTGCAGCGCTGGCCTTATTTCCGCGCTTCCGCTCGTTCCGAATCGTGCTCCCGCTGCAACGCTGGTGTCATTATTTCCAGCGCCATGCCACGGCATGGTTCTTGGTCCTGCCAAATAGGCTCCAAAATCTAGAAAATGACTCCGCGAAACAACCATCGGAAGTGATTACACATTCGGTGCCGATTCGTTAGTTGTTGGGGTCGCAGAAGCCCCCCCCCCCCTTTGGGGCAGGCGTCGCCACTCAACACCATGCTATGCCATATACTGCGACATCCAACTGTGCGAATAGAGAGGAGATCTACGCCATGGTAAGGGATGGGAGGGAGGGGTAGGACATCAGATATGACGCGAGCGCACCTAGCTTGTCCCCTTCCCCCTCCCCATCCCTCCCTCGCCCTCCCCCCCTCCCCCTCCCCTCCCCTCCCCCTCCCCCTCCCCCTCCCGCTCCCTCCCTCGCCCCTCCCCCTCGCCCCTCTCCCTCCCGACGTCGGGGGTCTGGGAACGAGGCCTGCGCCTCCTGAGGAGCTGGGAGAGGAGGAGGCCGAATCTGGCGGGGGACAGGCCGGGAGCCTCCGTGAGTGGCGGGCTCTGCAGGACGGATCGGGCTCGGGCCGCTCGCCAGAGCGCTCCCGGAGCGTCCTGGGACATGCGATGTCCTGCTTTGCTCGACGCGCGCTCCCTGGACCTCCCGGCCCGCTCCCGGCGGGGTCCTCCGAGGCCGAAAACGACGAAAAGCCTCCGCTCCTCCTTCCTTGTCCAGCCCTCGTGTGCTGGGCTCTCGTTTTGACTGGAGCACTGTGGTCGAGTCTCCTTCCTCCCCCCCCGTCCTGCCTCCTCCTGCCTCCTACTTCCTGCCTCCTGTCTCCTCTCCCTGCTCTTCCTCCTCCCTTCTCTCCTTCGTCCTGCTTGTGTTGCAGCGCCGTTGTGACTCTGCCTCTCTCGTGTGCTCCTGGGAGGGGGGACCTCGCGGCTGCGCAATGCGCCACTGTCGCCACTTTCGTGGGCTCCTGGGAGGCACAGCGGACTGGAGTTGTAAACGCACCCAGCCGAGACCTCGCAGCTCCTCGGGAGGCTGCGAAGTGCGCCACTGTCGCCACTTTCATGGGCTCATGGGAGGCCCAGCGGACAGGAGTTGGAAACACATCCAGCCGAGACCTCGCGGCTCCCTGGAGGGCTGCGAAGTGCGCCACTGCCGCCCTCCTCCTCCTCCTCCTCCTCTTCTTCCTCGTCCCATGGGCAAGGGAGGAGGGGGGGGGGAAGGGCGTGGGAAACTAGGGCGGGGAAGAGAAGGGAAATGAGATGGAGGAGCGGGGTCGGAGGGTGGGATTGGGGCGGGGAGGGTGGAAGAGAACCCGGCGAGTAATTCATGCTGCAAGGGGCCGGGGAGAGCCTGCACTCTCCGGGCGACGCGAGAAGACGAAACTGAAAACGAAGAGGCATCCCCCAAGCAAGTTAGTTAACGAAACGAACGCCGACCGTGGCGGCTCGAAAATTAGTTAGGCAAGAAAGCGAAAACGAACACGATCCGAATCTGTATATATATATATATATATAACAGTCTCAACAACGAAGGGTTGATGTCCGTGCAAGAATCGCCTGCAAAGAAGCAGAAACAACTCGAGTTCAAATCGCTCTCGCCCGAGGACGCCTTCAATAAGATCGCTGCCGAGACCGAGGAGTACATGGGCAGCACAGCCGACGCAGAGCTGGCAAAGACAGACCAGGCAGACACCCGCAAAGACTTTGCAGAGTCTTGGGGGTTCTCTTGGCCACCGCCTCCTGCGCTTGGACCTCCTCGTAAAGGTGGGCCCTTTCCGACGGCGCAGAAGTGGCAGCAAGGCTCGTGCGAGTACCTCGGCGAAGTGGCAGCCGGGGAATTCTCGGCGCAAACACCAGCACCGCCTTTAAATTGGCCTGCTGATTGGGGCCAGAAGGTTTGCCCCGTGTCGCAATGCCAGCCGAAGAGCGGGTCGGCACAAGGGTCCACAACGGAAGCCCTGGCCAAACCAGAGGACGCGAATGAGAGGACGCGATGACGCGAATGACGACGCACAAGCAGTGCCCTCGGAAGGGGCCCGCCTTGCCGAGGAGGTCCAAACATAGGGGGCGGTGGCCAAGCCAGGCCCCAGGATTCTGCCAAGTCTTTTGCGGGCGTCTGCCTGGTCTTTCTTGTCAAATTCTGAGTTGGTGTTGCTGTCCATGCAATCCCTGGCTTCGGCAGCGACCTTCTTGAAGGCGTCCTCGGGCGAGAGCGGTTTGAACTCGAATTGTTTCTGGTTCTTTGCAAGCGACTCTCGCGGTGCAGACTCGTCGACGAGCTCCAGGAGTTGGCCTTCCGTGTTTGTCGGCATCGCGAGCACCGCGAGGAAGACGCCGAAAAAGTGTTCGGCCGTGGTGAAGACATGTTGGGCCCGATACTCGGCGCCCGCGGCTGAGCCCGCACAGCAATGCCCCCCCGCCCCGATCCTCACAATTGCGCATAGCTCAAAGAAAACTACGCCCGGAAAAAAATACAAAAACATTGAAACGCACGTCGCGCACATCGAGCATCGATAAAGACATCGGTCAACAATTGCATGCGTCTCTCGCCCCATAAGCGGGTAGACCTCGCGCGCATTTCGCACGTGAGATGACAATCGCGCGCGTAGGAACCATTCGTATGAATATGCGTTGACAGTGTCCACTGCGAGCATGCCATCGCCCCCTCCCTTCGGGCATGCCCAAACGTGGCACCATTTGTTCGCGAATCGCTCGAGGCGCCCGCGGGCCCATGCACGCCGCCTTCCTACTGGGAGCTAGAAACGAAGCGCCAGCACACATGTTGGTAAGAAGACGAACAACGATTGACGCCCACGGGCAATTACTTAAGTTAGAAAAGCGACGACGAAAAACGAATCGGCGCGGCGGGAAGTCAATAGTTCAGACAACGAAATCGAAAAAGACAAATCGTGCAGGGCTTCACGAGATGCGAGCCGAGATTATGTGGACTGAAACTGTTCGGCTCAAGGGAAGGGATCCATGGGGCTTCGCCATTTCGCATGGGAGCGGGGCCTGGCTGCGCCCACGGCCAGGCTCCATGTTCCGTGATCAGAGATGGCTTCCGCGGGGGAGGTTTTGAATCGTGTCGCGGCCATGGGGAGCGTCGTGGTCCAGCAGCGTGATCAGATTGTACGATTGGGGTAAAAAGTACGCGATGCCATGCCCGAGCAGCAGAGACAGGAGCGGCGACACTTGGAGGTCAAGAAGACAGAGCTTACCACCGACCTGAGTCTCTGGTCGACACGAAGCTGCTCGGGAAACCTGACAAGTTCTCAGGCGAGCTGGGCGAGAACGCGAAGTACAAGGATGGTGTCACCTGGGAGAACTGGAGTTTTGGTTTGGCGGCGAACTGCATGGCGGTGGACCCGCACATGGCAGAGCTGATGAGGGGCGCAGCTGAGGTGGCCGCTGAGGCCTACGCACACGAAGATCTTGACAAAGAGGCCCAGCGTGTGAACACCAACCTGTATTACATCCCGGTGCTAACATGCAAGGATATGGCCCAGGGAGTCGTGGGAGCGTTCCTTCAGGAGAAGGTCTGGAAGCATGGCGACTACTCTGTGTGGAGTTCGAGCCGAAGGTGCCGTCGCGATTCCCGGGGATGCTGGACTCTATCTTGTGTCCACATGTGCAGGAGAACGACCTGATCAAGGGCATCGTGCCCTGGGAGACGCAGGTGCAGCGGTGCGAGGAGCAGACGGGCGAGAAGATCATGGAGTCAATCAAGAAGTCCGTTCTGAGCACGAGACTGGTGCCCAACAAGCTCATGGAGCACCTGATGCTGAGCGCGACGAGGTTCACGACGTATGCGCTGGTCAGGGCAGAGGTGCTTCACTACTTGAGGTCGAAGCAGGAGGTGATGGCATTAAGTGGTTCTGTGCCGATGGATTTGGACGCGCTTGCGTTTGCCAGACACGGGGGGGACGGCAAAGGCAAGCACGGCACGGATCAGACCAAAGGCAAGGGGCCCGACAACACGAATACGAGCCAGCCACGCAAGCACTGCGGCAAGAAGGGACACAAGCTGATGGAGTGCGGGAAGGCCACACAGGACAAGGGCGGAAAGGACAAGAATGACAAGCCGAAGGCACCGCCAGCCCCAGAGAACCCTATGACCAGGACATGAAGTACTTAGGGTACGACTACGACGCCGAGGAGGGCTACGTATTCTGCGTCGCAGATTGTGAGGATGACAAGCTGACTGATCAGCATACGTATCACAGATTGTGAGGGTGAGGAGCCCAATGACGTTAAGATGGAGAACGACGAAAGCTACCTGATTCCTATTGGAGAAGTCGAGAGCGATAACGACGGGAAGATCGAGGTCATGGTCGATTCGTGCGCAGCCAGAAGCGCCTGCCCACCAAATTTTGCACCGCGAATACCACGAGAAGAAGCCGATTAACCGCCACTACGAGAAGCAGACGGTTCGAAACTATACGCGGACGGATGCAAGACGGTACAAATGCGAGGACAGTTTGATGTGCGCGACGTTCACAAGGCGATCATTGCGGTCAGCGATTTGACGAGAGGATCTCGAGGCGTGCGGTTTGATGAGTACGGTGGAGCAGCGGTCAGCCCGTCAGTAAGCCATGAGGTCAAGAAGATGATCGAGATGGAGGCGACAAACAATGCGACGAACAAGCCACTCAAGATAGCCAAGAGAGGGGGGATCTACAGCTTCGACGTGGACGCCAGCACGCCATGCCCGCTGGAAGGAAATGAAGCAGAATAATCATCAACTCAAGCGGTCGAGAGTGAAGAGGTCCAGATGCCGAGGATCAAGGAGGAGAGGTGCAGGCCGACAGCGGAGGAGATTGCCGCGCACGAGAGGACACACATGCCGCTCAGAGACTGTTGCAAATGGTGTCTGTGGGGGCGCGGCAGGGAGGACGCCCGCAAGAAGACTAACCCTGAGGAGGCGCCAGATATAATTACCAGTCATCGGCATGGACTACTGCTTCGTGAACACCGAGCTGGAGACGGAGATGGTCAGCACATGGTTCAGAAGCCTGAGGACGCCGTGGCATCGATCATGGTGATGCACAAAGGGCCCAGCGAGTACGTAAATTCAGCGGTGGGGTTCTACATTGACGTATGGGGGGCCGCAGACATTATCCTGAAGGGCGACCAGGAGCCATCGCTACAGGCCGTCATCACAGCGGTGAAGAACAGGAGGAAGCACAGCACGCAGATTGAGAAGGCACCTAAAGGATCTCATCAGAGCAACGGAGCGATCGAGAATGCGGCGGAGTGAGTGGAGTCTCTCTCTACTGCGTACATTACACAGCGAGCTGGAATTCAACCTGAAGGTGAAGATCGGCCCCAAAAGCCTGATCAGTCAGGCATGTGGGGTATCTGCTCACCAAGTTTGCGATCAAGACGGATGGCAGGACAGCTCGGGAGCGGTTGGGACGAGCTAAGTATAAGTAAGAGCTGGGTAAGATCGGGGAAACAATCGACTACGAGATCCAGGCGAAACATTATTCCAAGCTGGAGCGGAGGTGGAGCGAAGGTATCTTCCCTGGCAGGCGGGGCGAGAGCGACGAGATTATCGCGGGGGCTGCGCGTGGGATTGAGCACGCCAGGACGATGATGCTGAGGAGTGCCGAGGACAAGTACAACAAGGAGGTCTACAACACCTTCATTGGCGCGCCGTGGAATCCCAGAGGACTGGAGTTGAAGGACCATGATGAATTTGCCCGAAGGCCCGAAGGGGGCGGTGCATCACGAAGGCTTTGATCGAAGAACATGGGCCTACAGATGGACGCGCGGCTTGCGAAGGGAACTCGGCAATACAGAACGTGAGGTGCAGGACGAGGTTTGCGAGGATCGTCGACGAGGCCGAGCCGAGGATCGAGATGGCAGTTCCAGCGGACCCAGCTCAACCCGAGGGAGGCGCAGCACAAGCAGAAAGACACGCAGCAGCGCCACCAACAGACCGCGACTGGCGGAGGCAGGACAGCGTGCATTAGGCACACCGGTAGGACATCACTTCGGACCAGGAGAATCCATGGATCAAGATGTGGAAATGACAGGCAACGCGATAGTAGCAAGTGGAGACGTGGCCCCGTTGACACCAAGAAGGGACGAGGTGATGGAGGTCGGTATCCCCATGACGATCGCCAAGGAAGAGGACCGACATGTGTGCGAAGAGGTCGAGCCGAGGGTGAATTACGACAAACTGGTGGGAGACGGAGTCTACCGGGACGCGTACACAGGAGAAGAATTGCAAAAGGACCTGGTGACCAACGGCAGGACCAAGGAGATGCAGAGTATGGAGGAGTTTGAGGTCTTCGAGTGGGTACCGTTTGAGGACCGGATGAAGCCGTTCGACACGAAGTGGATCGATCGCAAAAGTAGGATCTGCAGAACAACGAGTGGATCGTGAGGAGCCGTTGTGTTCACAGGAAGTATAGCGATGAAACAGCCCCCTCGAATTTCGCAGGGACACCCGCACTATGGGCAATTAAGTTGGTGGTATCACGGGCAGCTTCGACAAGACCGAATGAGAAGAGGAGGAAGAAACTTGGGCTCTACGACATCTCAGTGGCGTTCTTTCATGAGTCGCTGAAGGAGCCCCAGTACTGCTGGCCACCACCAGAACAAAGACGACCAGGAATGCTCTGGAAGCTGCAGAAGGCGATGCATGGCACACCAGAGGCGTCAATGCTGTTTCAAGGAGAAATTCGAGACAACTTCAGCCAGAATGGGTATCAGATGATAAAGAAGGTGCGGTGCCTGTACTACCATCCAGGTATTGACTCGCTCTGTGCAGGACATGGGGATGATTTCGTTTTGGAGGCATTCGATGACGAGCTGGGCGCTTTTGACGATATCATGGCGAGTCGTTTCAAGGTCAAACCTCAGCCTCGAGTGGGACCAGGAGGAGCATCCGAGGGAACCTTTCTCAACAGGACGGTTCTTTGGGGCGAGGAGGGCTTCGGCGTTCTACCAGGCCCCAAGCTAATCTTGGAAATGGTGGAATTGTGTGGTTTGAGGCAGGCTAAGCCGGCCGAGACGCCGAGCTCGAAGCACACAGCGAAGGGAGTTCGAGAAGCAGAGGTTCCAGTGACGCGGCAGAGTTCGATGGTCTATCGCAGTTGCGGTGGTATTGCTCAGTACATAGCTGGAGATCGATGGGGTATCCAGGATGCAGTTAGAGAGCAAAGCTGTTCGTATAACGACCCACGGGTGAAGCACATCCTGAAGCAGAAGCGCCTGGTCAGATACTTGAAGGGGACGGTGGACATCGTGACCTACTTCCCTTACCAGGAGGAGACGTTCAAGGTGAAGGCGCCGGTCGATGCGACCTGGGCAAGACATGAGACGACGTGTAAGAGCATATCATCGGGAGGCATTCGCTTGGGAGCTCATTTACTGGAGAGTTGGGTTCTATCGCAAGCGACGGTGACGTTATCGAGTGGAGAATCGGAGTTCTACGCGATGGGGTCACGCACGGCCAGGGGGCTCAACATCAAGGTTTCACGAGATGCGAGCCGAGATCATGTGGACTGAGACTGTTTGGCTCAAGGCAAAGAGTCCATGGGGCTTCGCCATTAACTCGTGTCGCCGGGAGAGTAAACTAGACTCAGCCTGCGACCGATGCGGAGATTAGGGGGATGGCGATCTTTCCCTGTGGATATGCGACAGCCTCGCGCCAGACGGGCGATCCATGGACCTGGACACGTGTGTAGAACGACGTGCAAGTGTTAAGATTTGCATAATACGTACGCGCATTACCTGACACCCAGAGGCCGAGAAGCCTCCGTCTGCTCAAAAAACCCGCGCACACCTGCAGGCAATCATGTCTATACTCATCGGTCGGAAGAAGTAGGTACAAACATGAACCACGAAGACGTTAATAGTAAATTGGGCGTCCGCCCGCCCCCCGAAAGAGGACGGAAAAGGTGAAGCCACTCGATCATTGAAGTAGGAAGGCGCTTAAAATTATTGTAACCCAAACATGCGACGTCCTGATTTTTTCAGGACGGAACCCCAGGAAATCCAGACCCTTTCCCCGGGGCGGGTTTTTCATCCTGAGTGATTTTCTGACGGTCCTGGGGCCAGGCGAGGGCCCCCAAGAGAAGAAACTAGGGAAACTCTGTCCATCCTGATGTTTTTAAGACGCGATCATGTCTGGCATTGGGAATCTGGGAATCTGGGATTCCCAAAATACTCACTTTCAACGACCGATGGGCTTCGTTGTGTGCTATCCGAGCCGTGGCCACCGCCGGCGGAACTGCCCTCGCCTTCCTTCCGCCGCCCTTCGCCGAGGAAGAGATGGAAAACTAAAGCCTTCGAAGGAGAGGGCCTCCGCAGGGCGGGCAGGAGCAAGGAGGGGGCGGGAGGGGAGGAGGAGGTGGAGGAGAAGAAGGAGGAGGAGGGGGAGGAGGAGGAATGGGAGGAGGAGGAGGAGGAGGAGCGCACGTCCATCGGAGGTGCCGCAGTTAGTCCCTCGTGAGCGCCGCATGGCGGATCGAAAGTTGAAAGGTGTAGCTGCCGTACTGATGCGGGGACTCGATCAGTGCAGCACGTAATTTATGAAAGATCGAGTAGGCGAGCGCCACAAGATCATGAGCTACATTAATGTTCAGGTCAGTATCTTGATACTCCTCCACCGTTCCCAAGCCAAGCCAGAGGAACGGGGGAGCGGTGGGGATGAAAAGGCGAGGAAACGCAATCATGTGCAGCAGACGGGGGCAGGAGAGGTAGTGAAGGAACGAGTCGGGGGAGTCGAGGCAGCCAAACCTGCATGGGAGAGGCGTGAGGATCTTCACCCGATGGTTCGTGATCCACGCTCCTGTGAGAGACTTCAGATGCGCCCACACCCTTGCTGGCGCTGACTTCATCAGCACAGCACGGAGGGCTAGCCATCTATCACGGGTGGAGGCTAAAGAGGGGCAGATCTCTGCTGGAAACCACGCGCTCAGCCGAGCGTGAATGCGTTCGTGGAATCGATCTGGATATACCAGCGCAGTGAGGCACTGGATGAAGACGCCTTGCGGCCGAGCTTTCTTCCTCCCACGACAACGACGATCCCGCCCAGGCCCGTCCCCCCCCGAGGGAGATGCAAGAGTGGCCTCGCGTGCAGCAGCACAGGCTCGGATCAATGGAGCAGGAGGAAAAGGGAGGTCACGGCAGGAAGTGAAGAGCCTATAATACTGGAGGATGTCTTTCTCATTCAGCCAGCATTCTGCCGACATCAATTGTTTGCGAACTCGCATGTGCAACCCATGAACATCAACACCCTCCCACCACCAGTCATAGCACTCCGCCCAGCCTCGAAGGGTGCACACACTAGCTCGCCATGCATTCGCAAGGGCATATACTCGGACGCTCGTGATGGTGGCTGCCTTGAGCCAATTCTTCATGCTCAGAAAATCATGCAAAGCGAAAGAGCTGGGTGGCATGCGCAACAGCTTGTGTAGTGCATAATATTCTTTCTTCAGAATTTCCGCACACAGTGGGAAGAATTGGGCCAGATATCCTAGGACTGACAACGCCGTGCACTCATACAGCCTAATCGATGCATCGCTCGGGGATCGACTGCTGGCAATCATTCGGACTCGGGTCCACCACTTCTGTCCCGCCTCGTGCCACTGAAGCGACAGTGTGGCGGCTGGTCCTATCAGAACGCCCAGGTATTTTGCGTATCCCGCAATCTTCACATCCGACCAGGCTGGTACTAGGTTCGCAATGATGGCAGCATATACAGTGTTTTCTGCGACAGTGCATTCAACGGCTAGCGGTACGACTACACACTTCGCTGTCTGGAGCATGAGGCCTGCCAACTTCTGTGCATATTGGAAGGTAGTAAATAGAAGAGGCAGCAACATTATATTGTTTAAAACCACCCCTACATCGTCGGCACAGGCCCCCAGGGAGGCGTCCTCTTTACTGGGGAAGGGTCGGACGAGGTGGCGGAGGAGGGGGTCAAAGCCCAGGGCCCACAGGGAGCCAGAAAGGGGACACCCCTGGGGCACGCCAGACGTGATAGCAAACATGGGCACAACTTCCGAGCCAACCGACAGATGAGCCAGGGCACCTGCGGCGAGGGCATTGATGGCGTAGAAGAAACCTATGTGCATGCGATGCCTTTCCAGCACGAGCCTTAGCCACGTTTGGCTCATGCTGGGAAAGGCAGCTTTGATATCAAAGCTCAGAAAGATGGGATGCGATTCTGCGTGGACTACGCCTGCTCTCCGAGCTGCTGTGTCCATGGCGAGAATATTGTGGCCTAGATTTCGTCCTTTCACAAACCCCTGTTGGACCACATGGGTCCTCTGGACCACAAGGTGCTGCAACTGCTGATTGAGCGTAGACGCCAGAAGCTGGCTGTCCGAGTTTTTCAGCGACAAAGGACGGAGGGTCCCTGGATCTCTAATACAGTCCGTGGTGTCCCTCGGGTCCTCGCCCTTGGGAATAAACGCGAAAACGCTGTGGTTGAGGCCTTCTGGAGGGGGCTGACCGCCCATCAGATAGAGAAGGAGACGATAGAGGACGTCGAGGCAGGAGGGATGGCCTTTCCACGCTGCATAGGTGAGCCTATCAGGCCCAGGTGCGGATTATCGTGCTCTTCCTAAGCTAGCTGCCATTTCTTCCCGCGTGGGGACATGAAAATCAAAAGCTGGATGGTCGGGCATATTGGAGGCGAGAAATGTCTTAATTTCCTCTGTCGGCATCGCACCTCCCGTGCAAACTGGCTGCCAATATTCTTTTAAAGCATTTGCAATCGGGACAGGGCCTCGGGCTACATCACTTCGGTGGCCAGTCTGAGCAACACGCACCCCCTTCAACACGAGTCGCCTTTGTTTGGGTCTCCACAGCAGCGCCCTACGCAAAGACCTCTCCTGCATTTTGCCCCAGTGAGCGGCCTCGCGGGGATTCGAGCGAGCCCTACTAGCAGCTTCATCTTGCATTTTTTCATGACGGGTGGCATTCTGGCTAAGGACCTCATGTCTGAATTCTTCCTCACGTTGGAGTAAGACCCTTCTTCCGACAATCTGCAAAAACTTCTGGCCATACTCAGAGTCTTCCTGAAGTCTGGAGGCTGTGCGAACATCTTGGCGCCAGATAGCTCGTGCAATCGATCTGAGAGCCATGCATCTAGCTTCAGTCGAGAAAAATTATCCTGCTGCACTGCGTGTGTGGTTCTGGCCTAAGTCAGGATCCTTCATAAGCTCCCTACGCGTCACTGTGGCGGCAACGATCATATGTTCTTTGAGGAGAGACCAGGCCTCAGGAGGAGGGAGGGATTCATGTTCGAAACCAGCCATACAGTTCGCGAGGATGTGATTATACCGCGGGTGCTTGAAAATGAATGGCGGAATTTTCTGCTGGCCTTTCGGGGTCTGTCCCCTGGGCTTCAGGGTCAAAGATAAAATAGCGTGGTCACTCAACTGCCAGTCTGCCAACTCAGGCGCTTCTTGGATCAGATCCAGTGTCGTTTCAGTTTCGAGGAGAAAGTGGGGAGAGAGGGAGACGAAGGCACGGTCGATCGAGGAGAGAGAGGCGGAAGATCGGGAGAAGTGTGTCGGTAGATCCGTCGCGATCTCCGTCATCTGGCCTGAAAAAAGGGAACGCCAGAAAGCTTCGTGATGATTGGCCCTCCCCTCCAGGGAGAGACGCGCCTGGCGGGGCTCAGGAAACAGCAGCGAGTCGTTCGGCCTGTCGGACACGTTGAAGTCGCCGATCGCGATCGCCACCCGATGCATCTCGTCCATTCGTGCCCATGAAGCGTTGCCCTGCCAGCGTTGACGAAGTGTTGTCCTTTGGGTAGCACTTAATTCAAAGTTGTGAACGTTGATGATGCGAATCTCCATACTGGTTCTCGGATTCTTGATACTCAGGCTGTGTATTCTTCCTTCCGCAATGGTCTCTGGGTCAAACTTCGGGCGAAGATGTTCTGGCACTGCTGAAAGCTCTGCATCATTATACCATGGGACCAGGATTGCTGCACCACCAACACCAGGCCGTTGTCCCATAGTTGAGAACACTTTGTATTCGTATGGGTATTGACGAAGATAGTTGACCAGGGATTCATGAGTGCCATGCACCTCTTGAAGACATATCAACGCACGATGTTTCATAAGAGCCGCCAGCCTTGCTACTAGGAGGAGGAGGAGGAGGAGGAGGAGGAGGAGGAGGAGGAGGAGGAGGAGGAGGAGGAGGAGGAGGAGGGGGAAGAAAAAGGAGAGGAGGAGGAGAGGAGGAGGAGGAGGAGGAGGAGGAGGAGGAGGAGGAGGAGGAGGAGGAGGAGGAGGAGGAGGAGGAGAGGCGACGAAGCCAGGGTGCAGCGCGCAGCGGGCGAGGCGCCCGGCTCTCGGGCCACAACTCGGGCCCCCGAACTGCCCTTCGGGACGACCCGGGCACCGCCGGAACGCTCTCGGCGAGGCGCGGGTGCTGGAGGGCATCTGCGGAAACTTCCTCAAGCCTCGAACCTCCCCAGACCCCCTCGCGCTGCGAAAAAGTCACGACGAAAGTCGTTTTGGCAATGTTCGGCCTCCGGGAGCCCTTCCCGGGCCCCAGGACCGTCAAAAAACGATTCAGGATGAAAGACCCGTTCCAGGGACGGGGTCCGGACCTCAGGGGGTCGACGTCGTTGTGAAGAAAACACGACGTCGGGGGTCTGGTCCCACTGCTTCGAGCCTCGGGGACAGCGGCCCCGCCCTCCCAACCTGGAGGACCTGGGGAAGCCACAAGGTACCAATACCGCCATTCCCTGGACATCCCCCTGGGTAAAATTCAGGCCAGAATTTCGAAGTGAATCCAGCCGTGGCGACGAAGGCCTCCCAAGAGGCCCACAAAGGCGAAAACGATGGAAGAGTAGCAATATCGGCACCTCTTCCTCCCCAGACCACCCACGCCATGATTTTATCATGACGCTGACCCCTAGAAGTCTGGACCTCTTCCCTGGGAAGGGCTTCTCATCCGGAGCCGTTTCTTGACGGCCGCCGAGGCCCGGCGGAGGAGGAGGAGGAGGAGGAACGAAACACCGCCCGCCGTATTCTCGTCGGGGGGTGGGCATGCGCGCGGCGGGGGCCTTGCTCGGGTCCTGGGACTCGAGCCAGTGAAGGTGCTCGGCCACGTAGACGGGGCCGCTGGTTCGTCGAGGGCCTTCGGCGGCGGGGGGGGGAGGAGAACATAATAGAAAAGAACATTGCAGCGGAGCTCCAGCGAAGGGATATAGCAACTGCGGCGAGCTCAGCGCGCTTCCCACGCAGCTTGGCCTCGCTTGAGACGCAAGTGAACTGTCGGGCGCCACGTGCGCTGCCCCACACGAGGCGCCCTCCCAAATCTGGCGCGCAGCGGGGGGGGCGGGCGAGGAGGAGGAGGAGGAGGAGGAGGAGGAGGAGGAGGAGGAGGAGGAGGAGAAAGCGTTTCGTGCATGTTTTTTACGCGCGGCATTTTCGACAGGAGGCGGAAGGGTCTGTTTGGTCCGACGCCCAGCGGCCAGAGGCGCCCAGCGGCCTGCCTAAGAGAAACAAATTTCTGGGCGCAGGGTTAGCGTCAAGCCCTGGACCCCTGGGACTACAAAGAAGCTTTAACAGTGTGCATCCACGAGATCTCACTGCCCCTCATCCTCGTAGTCCGCCCCATCCGATTTCAGCCCCGTCACGGCGTGCGAGGAGGAGGACGAGGAAAAGAACAAAGAAATGACAAATGACGCCACGGGCGCCCTTGTTCCCAGCGGCCTGCCAAAAAAAGACGAAGAGGACGAGGGTGGCAATGCCGCCTCTCGTCCTCGCCCTCTGGCAAGGCGCGTTCAACTTGTAACCCCCGGTGGCCGCGACCACGTCCGCGGCCGCGGCCGCGGCCAGCTGTTTCGCGCCCTCCAGTGCCAACGTTACCATTGCTGGCGTTGGCGCCATTGCTGTTCGGTTGGCTCACGGACCGGCCACGAGAAAGCTTCGACGAAATAGAGCTGGCTCTGGGGCCTCTCGATGAAAATCTTAATCCCGTGAACGGCTTAGGCGCCCGAGGATGCGCAGCTCTATTCTTCTGAGATCGCCCCCGCGCCTGAACGGCGCGGCGGCTGAAGCCCTTGAAACTTGCATCGCCCTGTCGAGCTGGAGTATTATTAGAGATTATCGAACTTCCCCTGTCGCGGCGCATCTTCGGCGACCTCGGTCGTCTCGGCGCCAGAGCCCCTTCCAGCACTCATTGATCATAGCTGGTTGCTCTTTGCGCAAAAGGTGCGTAATTGTACCTGGTGCTGCATTCTGGGCCTTGTCTGTTGAGATCTCGGCCGCGGCCGCGATTGCCCGCGCGTCTGCGCCCTCGACAAACGCCTGCGCTTCCTCGAATGCATGCGCCCCGACCCCGCCCTCGCGCTTCGCTCGAAAGTGGCGCTTTTTGTGCTCGGCGAGGGTCTTCCTTGAGATGGCTGCGACGTGCGCGGCGGCCCTCTTGGCGGGGGTCGTCTTCTCTGCCCCCGCGCAGCAGCTGCCTCGGACTGCCCAGCGGGCTTTGCAAGTCCAAGCCCGGCCCCTGCATCGCGCGCTGCGGCGTCAGCCTCGCTGTGAACTGAATGAGAAGGGAGCCGACGTGGGCCTCCGCGAAAATCTGACACTGCCTGGCACGTTTCTCTCGCAGTCGATGGCATGCCTCGAGGGCGTCATAGTCACCTGGGCCCCCCCGCTGTTCCGCGGGCTCTAAGCCCGCGGGCCGCGCCGCCGGAACGTGCTCCGCTGGCCGCTGCCATGCCAGCTTCGCCTCGTCACTGAAACTGGTGGGCAAATCTTTCTTCTTGATGTCCACGTTGATCTCGTGCTCGCTCAGAATCTCGGCTCGCTCCTTCACCTCGGCCCTCTGCCCCGGCGCGTGCTGCCGTCTTATAGCGCCTGAGAGTGCCATCTGGATCTCGGGCGCAGCCCTCGAACTGCCCCTCCGCGACGCCCGGCGCCCGCTGGGCCTTGCGGGGCTGGCGGAGGCCGCGCTCCTTGATGCGCCTGGGTCGCTTTCGGAAATTGACCCGGGCCATGCCCCATCACCTGCGACAAACTCGATGGGCGGCTGGAGCTCGAGCACCTGTCCGCGCATCGGGCGGGCAATGTCATTCGCCGCCGACTGCAAGGCGGACTGGGTGTTGTCGTCTGCCGGCGGCGCCCAGGGGCGCGACCTGCATCCGGCGCTGCTGCTGCGCGAGCTTTCTTTGGTAGTTGATTGTTTCCTCCTCAGCGCTCACGCGGAGGGCCCAGCCCGTGCGCCAGGGGGGGGGCGGCGACGCGGGCTGGCCCGGCGCCCGCAGCGCCCCGCGGGCTGGCTGGCGGCGGCGGCAACCCGCCAGGCAAGGCCTGCCCGGGGCCAGCGCCATCGACCCCGGCCAGCGGCGTCGGGCGACCACGCGGCGTAGACGGCGCCAGACTGGCCGACTCGGCCGCCGCCAGGCGCACGGCTGCCGAGCTCCGTCGGCCCCAGGCTGCCCGGCTCCGCCAGCCCAGCCCAGGCCCGTCGCGGCCAAGCACCGGCCCCCTCTCTTCTTCCAGGGCCGCGCCCGCCAGGCTGGAGTGCCCCGCCACGGCGGCCGCGCCTCCTGCCGGCTCCGCGCTGCCAGCCGGCCCCGGCCCCGCGCTGCCCCCCCAGACAGAACCAGGGGCGGGGGGCAGGCGGGCAGGGCAAGCGGGCGACGACGGGCAGGAGGGGGCCGGCGAGGTGACGTTGGAGAGCGAGTCGGCGGCCCCTGCCAGAAGCACCTCCACGGCTGGGTCCACGTCGGAGGCGGCGTCGTCAGCGCCGCGCGCGCCGGCCGCCCCCGGGAACAGCGCGCCCGCGTCGTCACGGGCGACGCGCGGGCCGCAAGCCAGTGCCATGCGCGCCGCGCGGCGCCAGATGGCGGCGCCGATGGCGGCGCGGGCCCGCGCGGCGAGGGCATGCGAGGGCGCGCCCAGGCGCCGGCCCGCCGCAGCCGCCGTGGACGTGACTGCAGCCGCCGCGCCCTCATGGGGGCACCCCCGCGCCGTCCAGACGAGGGGTCGGCAGGCGATCCCGTCGGCGGCCAAGGCGAGCAGGTGCGGCGCATGCTTGCCCACCTCGCCATTCGCGCGCGTCGCCGCAGCATCTTGACCCGCCCCAGCTGCGCGCGGCGCCGCGATGCCCACGTCGAGGGCCGTCAGCTGGCCAAATGCAGCCGCGGTCAGCACGCCTGTCGGGGGGGGGAGCGGCGCGGCCTCGATGAGGCCCTGAAATTCTCTTTCCGCGCTTCCCCATCGGACAGGGGCGCCAGCGCCAGGAGCTCGTCGCGCACCCTGTCGCGGCCGCGCGTGGACTCCCCTGAAGCGCAGCAAACGGCACGCGCCCCAGTCCCGCCCCGCGCTGCACCAGGAGCACGCCCATGGGGCCACGTAAACCGGGGCGCCAATCCGCAGGCGCGCCGCGACCAGGAACTCCTCGGGGAGGAGCGCGAGAGCCCCGCAGAGCTCCAAGAGCCAGCCATGGTCGGCGCCAGGGTCCCGCATGTCGCGGAGAAGCGCCAAGCCTGCCGCGTCGCGCCGCCCCGGCAGCGCCTCCTCCACACCCCGGGCTACGAGGTCAGCCAGCCGCACCTGGGGGCCTGGCACGACCCCAGGGCGCTCGAAATTATCAGCGCCCGGCGGTGCCAGGAGCGCGTCGGCGCCAGCCGGCGACGGAGCTGGAGGGGGCGACAGCGGCGCCCGACCCGCAAGCTGCGCGTCAGCGCTGCCGTCGCGCCTGCCTGGAGGTGCTGGGCCGCCACCTCCGCAGCCGACGCTGGGAGCTCGGCCTGCCGCGCCTCCAACGCGTCAGCCGAGGTAGAATCCCAGTGCGCCAGCAGGGCCTCGCGCCGCGGCTCCGGCATGACGCCCAAGACCTCCTCAGCTAAGCCCCGCGCCTCCACGCGGCTCGCTAGCCTAAGTCTGGGCGAACTCCGAACGGCGGTCTCTGAGCCCGTCGACCCCCCGCCGGAACTGCCGCGAATGCAACTGGGGCGGTACTTCGCAGAAGATCTGGAAATCACGCTATGATTGTTTACCGGGTCTTCGACGATCAAGTCAGCCCGCCGCAGCGCGCGCGCCCCTGCTGGATGGGGCTCTGAAGCAAAACGGCAATGGAAACGACGAGCAATCGCGCGCTGCATTATTGCCCCATGCCTCGCGTGTCGGCTCGTCTGCGCAAGGGGAATATGTCTGCATACCAAAACACTTGTTTCCACCGCGTGCGCCAGCGTAGTAGTTTGAGACGGTTGCGGCCCACGTCGCGGCGCGGGCGGGCTCGCGACGCGCCCCCCGGCCCGGCGGGAAAAAATTGCCTTCCGCAGAGCTGGCGGGCCTCGCGCGTGTTCGACGTCATTTGCGCGTGCCGCAGTGATGCCAAAATCTCGTCTACTCGGCAAAATTCGCACTGCGCTGGCTTGCCCAGTTGCCCGGCGCCCAATGGTCGCGGCCCGCTCATCGAAGCGGGCCCGTTGAACAGCTCGCCCCGCCGCGCGCGCGTCGCAACCGCGACGCTCAACCTTTTTGATGAAAAACGCAATCTGCGCGTCAACATCGCACTGCCGCGCGCCAGCTCGCATCGGTCTGCGCGGCCCACCGTTACTGAGCTTTCAAAGGTGGCCGGGCGGTGAGCGGGCGAGGGGGGATGCAGTCGTATATCTTCCGTTCTTTGCGGGGCGCGCTGACAGACATCTCCCTGCTCTGTCCTGGATTCAGCCTGCCCTCTAGGGCGCGCGCTCCTTCGCCCGGCACGACGCCCCCGCGCTCGACTTCAAACTCAGGCCACCGTCCGCCCAACACTGCGGCAATGGCATCTGGGTCAACTCCACTGCATCTGCAAAAACCGCCGTCGATGCACCGATTGAATTCGCGAATTGGCAAGTGCTCTGGAACGTGCTTGGCTGCCGCGCATGCGAGACATGTGGGCCAAAATGCTCGCGCTGCTGAGGCTGGCAACGGGGCCGGATGTCTGCTCGAAGGCCCAGCGCCTGCCCGCTGCTTTCACCGCGGGCCCCTGCAAGATCATTTCCAAAAACTCAACGGCCAAGCCCTGGATCCCGCTGCCTGCGCCCAGCGCCGCATGTTCGAATTGAAGGCGAGACAGCAGCTAAAACGCCATCGCGTTCATCGTCGACGTCGAGGTGTCGAGGTTCGGGTGGAGCGGGGCGATATCGAGACCCATGGGAAGTTCGCCCCCCGCCAGGCGTTCGTTGTCTGCGCGTTTAGCGCGGATGTCGCGATCGCGTCGCAAAGCTTCAGCATCGGCAGGATCGCGGCATTGGCGAAGTTGCTAGCTGGCCCGAGAATGAAGCCCCGAAAACTGTTGATAGGCCTTCAACCGACAGGTGTCTCGTGGATCTTGGCGTTTATCCTGGACGGGGGGATGGTAGAAGAGTGCGTGCAAGCGCGAGAACCTGCACTGTCCGTGGTAATTGTCTGCATGCGCAGCGGCGCGTTATCTGTCAAGCAATTGAGCGTTATTCGTAATATCCGCATGATCTCTGTCAGTTCGCCAATGTCGATATGGCAATGGGGTCGGATCTGCCCAACCCTGTTCGAAAAACCGATCGCGATGCCAACATTCTTCTCCATTTCGATGGCCATGTCGTTGTCTGCGTTGCTCTTCATTCACCAACGATCTTTCGTATCCATCCAGGAAAGATTGCCATTTGGCTCGATGGTCTTGGTTGCGGCTTCGCGCAATCCGGAAATGCCTTGCTTAGGGATCATCGCACCATCCTGCAGCAACTTCTGCTCGGCATCTGGCAACTTAAAAAGCTTGACGTCTGGAACAGAGGTGCTTCGCCGCAGGCTGCGCAAAGTGATGGCCCCCTCCTCGTCGGAGTGGCGGCTGAATCTTAAGGCCCAAGCCATGCTGACCTCAATTTCGTAGATGCTGTCGGAGACGCGCTGAATCTAAAACTCTGGCCGGGGTATGGCTCCATATTGTTTAACCCAAGGTGTTATGTACATGTAGAGGTCTACTATCTCGGTGAAAGTCAACTAGATGTACTGTATGAGGGCTGGGCGTCTGCAGCAGAGAAGAAACCCGCAATCTGAGCATCCTGCAAAAGAGAAGCTTGGCCATGGTAATTTCCGAACGCACTTCGTCCACCCAGAAGCCTTTCGCCTTCGGCCACCGGCAGGGCGCGTCCAGTTTGCCACCCCATGCGGCCACGGCCACGTCCGCGGACGCGGCCTGCTGCTTTGCGCCCTCCATTTCCAATGTTATCATCGCTGGCGTTGGCGCCATTGCTGTTCGGTTGGCTCCCTGACCGGCCACGAGAAGGCTTCGACGCAGTAGAGCTGGCTCTGGGGCGTTTCGACGAAGACCTTGATCCTGTCGAAGGCTTGGGCGACCGAAGATGCGCAGTAGTTGTGATCTTCGGAGATCTCCCCCGCGCCTGAAAGGCGCGGCGGCTGGAGCTCACAGAACTGGCATCGCCCCGTCGAGCTGGAGGTTTAGACATTGTCGAACTTCCCCTGCCGCGGTGTTTGTTCGGCGACATGTACCCGCCCCGGAGCCAGAGCCAATTCCAGTGCTCATCGATCATATCTGGTTGCTGGTTGCTTCTCGTACACGTAGTGCATCATTGTACTTGGTGCTGCATTCTGAACGTTGCCTCTGTCTGTTAAGATCTAGGCCATGGCCAGGATTGTCTGCACGCCTGCGCCCTCGAAAAACACCTGCGCTTTATCACACTTACTCGCCCTGGCTTCCTCCTCGCGCTGCATGTTGAAGTAACACTGTTCGTTCTCAGCGAGGGTTTTTCCTCAGGATGACTGTGATGTTCGCGGCCGCCCTTTTCGTGAATATCGTCCTCTCTGCCTCCGCGCAGCAACTGCCTCGGACTGCACAGTAGGCTTGCAGCTCCAAGCCCAACTCCTGTATCACGTAGTGCGGCGTCAGCCTCTCCGTGAACTGAATGAGAAGGGATGTGATGTGAGCCTCCACGAAATTCTGGCACTTCTTGGCATATTGCTCTCGTAGTTGCTTCCCTGCCCGGAGGATGTCATAATCATCAGGGTCCTCCCGCTGTTCTGTGGACTCGAGATGTGTGGGACGAGCCATCGGAACGTACTCTTTTGGCCATTGCCATGACAACTTCGCCGACTTCTATGCACAAATCGCGGTACGACCAATCCCAATGCCAATAATACGAAAGAGAATAACAATAATACCAACACAAATAATTTAAACAACAAAAACTGGCCTCCGCCGACGCGCCCACGGCTTTTCCGTTGCCGGGTCTTCCGGCCCCCGAAGGCCGAGAAAAAATGAGGACGGAAAAAGATGCGACTGAGTCCGTCGTCATCGCCGTCGTTGTCGGCGTCGCCGCCGCGGCCGTCGTCATCGAGACGGGGAAAAGGAGGAACGAGATCAGCAGGCAAGCACGAGGTAGGAGAGGGCACATGAGTCACATGAGGAGGAGGACGAGGACGAGGAGGAGGAGGAGGACGATTTCCTCATGCAAGAAAGCGGGATGAGAAGAAAGGCGCGGCCGCGATGGCGTCGAAAGGGCACGCCGAATGCGATTCGATCCTGCTGTTGCCTTGTCCCTCTCTGGCCGCTATAGGTGCGCATCGTTCAAAGCAGTGCCCGGGCACTGATCTGACCGATCGAAGCAGTGCCACGGCACTGCTTCGAAGCGCTTCATTCATAAAATACGTTGGATTGAACTCGGCGACGCGCGGCACGTCGCCTGGGTCTCTGAATGCTGGGAGGTGCCATCAGGCCACGTGGCCTCTCCACTCTTGAGGAGGGGCATGCGGAGATTCTAGGTTGGCCTCGCGCGCACCCGCGTAGGGGCACGAAGTCGCGGCGGAAAAGAAGGAAAAGACAACCACAGACGACGACGGCGAAGACGAAAGGCGCCGGCGAGGACGGCGACGACACAACGGCAGACGAACGAACGGAAAGACCCGAACGAGGACGACGGCGACGACGGTGGGATCCGCAAACCGCATACGGGCGGGGGACGGAGGCGTAGGAGGGTGAGGAGGAGAAGAGCCCGAGGTATCTGCGATTGAACAGCGCCCCCAAAGGAGCAACAGCATCGAGCCATACGCATCGGACAAAGGCACACATATACTTCCATCGTGCACTTCCTGCCGACGCTTGTGTCCACACACGTGAACGCCTGCAGGATATGTACAGTGCACATATAGGGTAATAAATTTCACACACGTGCACGTGCATCATGCGTAGTTAGAGGGTGGCCTGCCAAACTTATTTGCATGTCCGGATTCAGATGACACATATCTGCTGGCACTTGTAAAACAGCTGTGCAAGCTAGGCTAATCCAACAGGCCTTGATCTGATATCAGATGTTGGTGTTTCCCGCGCCCACAGGCTGGGCGAGTGCCTCGCGACCACCTGCGGACCCCCTCTCAGTCATGGCTGGCACCACCATGCCAGGGCGGGGCGGGTGCTGTCTAGGGGCAACCCCGGCACAAGACCCGACCCACGACTCCGCCGGTCGCGGCCTCCACAGCCACGCCTGAGCCTAGTTGCACGGGGGCCTTATGATCAGTCGCATGACAGGGCGAACAAGCACAACGCACGGACGTCACAGACCTTGTCCCGAGCGAGCAAAGGCGCCAAAACCGATGATGCACCGAGCTGCGTAAGTGAGGCGACCGAAGGACTGGCCCGGCATGCTTCATCTACCCGCCAAAGCGGGACGGCAGCATGAGACAGGATGCGCCGAAGGATGCATGCACAGTCGAAAAACATTGACACAAGAACGTCCACCGAGACCGTGGGCCCTTTCGCCGAGAGCCCCAGGCCCCCGGGAGAGACGCAAAAAAAGCAGGCCGTTCCAAGATGACGAGCGCAGACACGACGAGCGTAATTGTACCCTCCAAAGCGCGGGTTGCTTTTCCTCCTCCTGCTCTTCCGTCTCCTCCTCCTCATGCGCCTCCTATTCCTCCTCCTTCGCCTCCTCCTCCGCCTCCTCCGCCGCCTCCTCCTCCGCCTCCTCCTCCTCCACCCGCGTTCCTCCTCGTCCTCCTCCACCCTCGCTCCACCCTGTACTGCAGGCTCCCGCCGCGACGACTGGGAGGAGGATGAGGAGGAGCAGGAAGAAGAGAAGGAGGAGGAGGAGGAGGAGGAGGAGGAGGAGCAGGAAGAGGAGGAGGAGGAGGAGGAGGAGGAGGAGGAAGAGGGGGAGGAGGAGGAGGAGGAGGAGGAGGGAGGAGGAGGAGGAGGAAGAGGAGGAGACCCTCCCTGGCGCGGGGAGCGCGCCACCGAGCGGCGCCACGGGGTGTCCAACGCCCGCTTGTGTAATTCATGTTTCTGCCGGTGTGCCGGGGGCGCCGCCAGGCCCTCCCCGCATGTGTATTAAATGGGGCCCTGGGACACGCAAATAATACACATCTCCTCCTCCTCCTCCTCCTGCTCCTCCTGCTCCTCCTGCTCCTCCTGCTCCTCCTGCTCCTGCTCCTGCTCCTGCTCCTCCTCCTCCTCCTCCACCTCCTCCTCCTCCTCTTCCTCCTCCTCCTCCTCCTCCTCCTTCTCCGCCTCCTACCCCTCCCCGCTTATTTTCATGTTCGTCGTCTTCAGGGTCGGCGGCACCGGCCGTCTGACATTCGCAGCAAATACACACGAATCCCAGGATTCCCTATAATTTCACATGTTTTCGGGTTTTTCGTCTTCCCCCCACTTGTCGATATTTTCCCACATGTTCTGGGGAATCGACGATGAATTGTGCCTGTGTGTTTTGTTTTTCCCTCCTGGTGTATGCGGTCTTTTCTTCTGGCAGCGGCACCGTTATTGGCTTCGACTGCGCGCCATGGGTTGCCCTGCGTGGGCCCTGGGATCCGAAGGAAGCCACGGGGGGATCTTCACCAGTTGAACGCTGTAGCTGCACGTCGAGGCGGCGCAGACCTGCCGTAACTCGCCCGAGCGACGAGGAGCAGGAGGAGGAGGAAGAGGAAAAGGAGGCGGATGAGGGAGGACGAGGAGGACTGCGAGGAGAAGGAGGAGGAGGAGGAGGAGGAGGAGGAGGAGGAGGAGGAGGAGGAGGAGGAGGGGGAAGAGGAGGAGGAGGTAGAGGAGGAGGCGGAGGAGGAGGAGGAAGAGGAGGAGGGGCAGGCGCGAAGACGAGCGCAGCGTCGCAGATAGGGAAAGCGACAGATCAGACGCAAGCAAGGCGCCTCGGGAGGAGGCCAGCGAGCTAGTCGAGAACTCGGATACCTCCCCTCGTGTCCTCGCCATCCCGACGCACTCTCTCCCATGCCGCTCCCCCTTTTCTGACAGGCCGGCGATGTGATGGAGGAAGACTAGGGGTTCTCAGGGGGGAGGGCGACGAGAAGGAACATGAGAAACAAGGGAAACCACAGGAGGACCACGACGGGGGCGGAGAACGGAGAGGCGGAGGAAGAAGACGAGCGAGGGGGACGAGGGAGAAAGGGATGGTAGAGCGGGGGGAGGGGGGCGAAGCTGGAAGGGGACGGGGAGCGCGCGTGCAGGATGCCAGGCGCGAGGAGGTGTCCCTTCTGATGTTTTTCGTGTCCTCGTGCTTTCTCTGCACTCCCGAGCAACCCACGCGTGTGTTCGAGCAAGCAAGCAAGATTGCGTGCCCCCCTTGAGCTCCGGTCTAAGCCGCGAGGAGGTGGATCGGCATTCGCGCCCAGGGGCAGCGCCAGGACGAGGGGAGGAGGGCCGCGAGGGGCGCCAGGAGGAGCCCGCGCGGGAGGCGGCTCCCGCCGCGGGGGCCCGAGGACCGCAGGGGGATCAGGGCGCGAGATGGGGGGGCGGCGGGGGGGATCGGCGGAGCCGGGCGTGCCACCCGTGGGTGGAGGGATTTCGCCACGCGATGTGAAGTTCCCTCCCCTGCCCCTCTTCCTCCTCCTTCTCCTCCTCCTTTTCCTCCTCCTCCTTCTCCTCATATTCTTCTTCACATTCTTCATATTCTTCTTACCATTATCCGTAGTATGATTCGTACTTGTTATTACCTTTCGTATACGTCTTATTGTTTGTTTTCCTCCTCCTCCTCCTCCTCCTCCTCTCCTCCTCGTCGTCTTAATTGTATTTTTGATCCTATAATTCGTATTACTATGCTTACTCTGATTCGGATTTGTCAGTAGCATCCGTGTGCTTATTTGTCATATCATAGCATTGTTATGATATTACTATTATGCTGCTTCGCCTTAGTATTCGGGCTACGATTCGCATTCGTATTCGTATTCGTCTTCTTCGTATTCTTACAATTAGTTGTAGTAACATTCTTCTTCGTATTCATATGATGTTTCTGCTTATGCGTATTATTGTCCGCATGTTTGCTACTTGTTCTTGTAACTCTTCCACCTCCTCCTCCTTTCCAGTGGCTCTCCCTTCACTGCTACATTCCATGAACCAGGCAGCTGCGCATAATACTTTTAAGAGAGAGAGAGAGAGAACAAACAAAAAACGAGCGATGGGCACCGCGGACGGGTGGCCAAGCACAGCGCCGCACACGAGCCGTAGCTCCGCGGTCGGGTGCACGAACCACAGCGCCGCACACGACCCATCGTGATTGAGATGCTGATTACGATTGTGTGCAATCACTCTGGGATGTCTCTCGATCGAACGGGCATTCGAACAGGCGGGTAAATTCATTCACCTACTCGCGCCGCCGCGCGAATGGCTGTGGTCTCTGACTCGCAGCCCTCTCCGACACTCTGGCGCTCAAGTCCCGTAGCTCGAGCTCGCAAGCACGAAGGTCGCCTCTTGGTTCAGTCTGGCGCGCCGACGCACGAAAGGTCGAGGCTTCGCGCGCGTGGCCCGCACTGGTGGGCGTGCGCTCCACATCTGCAGCTCGAGCTCCCGAGCTCGGATGAAGCCCAAAATCGCCGCCTCATCCTCCGACGTGGCCTGCACGTCGGAGCTCGTCCCAAAACTGATCACACCAGGATCAGGGCAAGGATAAATGAATCCTCCTCCAGGCAAGGCGACAAGAGAAGATACGCGAGTGTCTGTATAGACCTCCTCCGACTTTGAACGGCCTGACTGCACATGAGGCGCTCGCGTTCCGAGGATTCTCTGCTGCACACTTCCGAAGACCGTCGCACACGTTCTTCTGGTGAATGACGACTCTGTCGTAGTCGATGTGATGTACGCAGCTGTTGGCAACAAAAAGGAGGGTCGCCTGCCAGGGAGCTGTAGACCAGAGCTCCGCACGTGCAGCGGAGGCCAGCATCACATACAACAGGATCGCGGATAGGTTCCCAACAGCCCGCCCCGAGAATGACAGGGGCTTCCGCTCGCAAACCAATGAACTTGTTGTCAGCTTCAGTGCCCTCTGCTGCATCCGCAGCAGCCGCCACGGGCGCTCCAAACGGGGCCCTGTCGCAGCATGCCGCAGCACTCTCGCAAGGGCGCGCAGGAGGTCAATGCCTTCTGCCTGCGAATGCCACGCGACATTCCGCCGCAGCCAGTCCGCTGGCGCAAGCGGCCCGCCGCGAACCTGAGCAATCAGCGCAGGCAGACCCGCCGGTACCCGGCCGGTGACCTCTTTCTCCACGCCCGCCAGGAGCCCAACGAGGCCGAGAAGGTGGGTGTACTGGGTCTGGAGATGGTCGCGGCTCTCCAGCAGCTTGCGGATCAAGTTGTCCGAAAACTCGATGGCCCGCGAACGCCGCAGGTTCCGCGCTGCCGCTCGGCTCCCATGCACTTGCCACGCATCTGGGGCAGTTCCCGCAGCCATTCTCAAGAGCTCTCCACGCAGAGTGCGGAATCGGTATGCCGACGCGCGCGCAAGCGGGGTGAGCCAGACTTGAGGCAAAATGGCTACGGATTCCTCCTCCTCCTCCTCCTCCTCCTCCTCCTCCTCCTCCTCCCCCTCCCCCTCCTCCCCCTCCCCCTCCTCCCCCCCTCCTCCTCCTCCTCCTCCCCCTCCTCCTCCTCCTCCTCCTCCTCCTCCTCCTCCTCCTCTTCTTCTTTGTATTATCATTATGATCCTTATTCTTACTATTATTATTATTCCTCCTCCTCCTCCTCTTCCTCCTCCTCCTGCTATCCACAGCCCTGAAGACGAACGTCTGAGGTACCCACACATGCCACGTCAGCGGTAAGAGAGGCAAGGCAGCGACAGAGACAGAGAGAGAGAGACAGCGACGCAACGATGGTCCTCTTCAGCCCTCTTCGCAAAACAAGTCGAGAGGGGAACACATTTAAGGCAACGTCAGGCTCGAGCCACGCATCCCCAAGAGGCATGGGGGTACAGCAAGCCGAGACGGCCGGGGCGATCACAGCAGCAAGGTAGTGGTCAACCTGGCTGCTGACTGGGGGGTGCAGTTGCAGGTACAGCACTCAGCACAAGGCACGGACTGTCCCCGATTGGCCCACAGCTCGACAGGAGCGTCGGAAGCACGGCCGCCGAAGACCGCGTGTACCTGACCTCGGGGGCATTCCACACGCAGGGCCGATGAGCACGTTGGGCCTGGGACCTCCATGCTACACGTGTCGGCAGCCCCATCGGAGGCCGAACACCATGCAGGTTCCGTCGCCGCATGGAGGCACGCATTCTCGAGCTCTAGACACTGCCCACTCGGAGGCCGACCTAGCAGAGACGACCAACGGCTCTTCACAACTCCTCAGAGCCCTGCTCGCCTCCCCCTTGACCCCCCATTGGTCTTGCAACGGGGGCTGGGGTCCCACGAGTATTGCGGGGGATCCGCAGGGGGCCCCGCTGCTCTGCCAACCAGCATTAAAGTCGCGATACGTCTGACATTGCTTCTAACCTGTTCGGGGGGTCAGAGAACGCAGTACACAATCTCATCCCGCAATGACACCCGCATGCCACAAGCATGTCTGAACATCGCCATTCCATATGAGGGCGCCGCGGATAACACCTGTATGCTTAGTGCCGTGTTATCTGGGGAACAGGGGTTTAACCACGTCTTATTATCCCTCTCCTCCTCCTCTTCCTCCTCTCCTCCTCCTTCTCCTCCCTTTTCGTGCGTTCTTATTCCACCTTCCCTCCTCCTCCTCCTGCCTCCTTCTCCTCCTCCTCCTCCTCCTCCCCCTCCTCCTCCGCCTGCTCCTCCTCCTCCTCCTCCTCGGACCCAAGCTGCCGAACCTGTGCGAGAGGGGACTCGAGCTCAATGCCGTGAGCTCTGATCTGAGCTCTCGAGCCGCGTTGCGGCACGCACTCCGCGCGAGCGCGGAGCCACGGCACAGAACCCCAACGGCCCGCGGGGCGGGCCTCCCATGGGCACGCAGGCCCCCTGGCCACTCTGGGCCGCCCCAAGAGTCCGACGCCGACGGGCGGCCAGGAGAGCTCACGAGGCCATTGGGACGGCCACAAGAGGCCGCGAAGAAGGCCGCAAACAAGGGTCCTGCCCTAAGATGTCCAAAAGAGGGCAAAATGGCCTTCAGGCGCCTCCGCGAGAGCGAGCAGCCTGCGCACGCCCGGAACGACACTTGCTCCAGGACCCGGCATGCCCGCACAAACACTCCGAGAGGTGCCCGACGGGGCCCAGACGTCAGACCAGCAGGGCGAAGACGCCGCAAAACCTCGGTCGTCGACGCTCTTCCCTTCAACTCCTCCCGCTGCAGCTGGTGCTGCTCTTCGTCCTCTTCCTCCTCCTCTTCCCTGACTTCCTCCTCGTCCCCCTCGTCGTCCTCCTCGTCCTCCTCCTCCTCCGCCTCTCTGACTCCACCTCCTCTCGCCTTCTACGGAATTGGTGTGGAAAAAACGGTGACGCAAACGGGCAGCATTTCCTGCCCACTCTGAACCAGGCTCGCCGTCGTTGTCGCTGCTGGCGGCGGTGTGCAACTGAGACGAATGGGCGCCAACAGCGGCCACGGTCGGTGTTTGACAACGTTCGCTGCTGGTCATCGCGCCTATGCTTTCCGCACCCGCTCCTCGGGCACACGGATCCGTGGACCCCGCGTGGGGACGCCAGGTCCACGGACCGGGGAAGGCACCCGCCGAAACAGGAAGGCAATGCCGCCGGACTTGGCGACGGAGCGCGCCGATTCTGCACGGCAGCGGAACCCGTCGCTCGTCCCCGCGCCCTACAATGGAGACATCTCTTAAGGACGGGTGGTGAGGGCGCAAGACCCTCGGAATCCGAAGTCGGGACTTTGGGGCGATGGGCGACGAATGAAAACGGCAAGGGAGGGGCCGCAGTGGCAAGGACGCAAGGGTACCCTAGAAAAGGCACGCGTCCTTGCTATGCGCGCTGCCTGGTGAACGCTTTTGTATTCGGCGTTTCGACATTGGGCGGTAAGGGGGGGAGGTGGGGGGTTCCGGATCCAGACCTCTGCTTAGTGCGACTGTTTGCAAGAGTGCGGCTTTTGGGCGAGACCCCACCCGCTCGAAAAACGCGCCCCCAAAGAGGCCAAGACCTACTCCATGGGAGGGGGGCTTGGGAGCCCGCGCCGATCGGCAAAACAATGAATTAAAAACGAGCACGGCGATCGTTTTCTTATTCCTCCTTTTGCCGACCGGCGCGGGCCCTCGCACCCCCCCTCCCACCCTCCCATAGAGTGGATCTCGGCTGTTTTTTCCGGCGCCTGTTTCGGGCGGGTGGGGCCTCCCTCAGAGCCAGCACTCTTGCCAACAGGCGCACGAAGCAGGGGTCTGGAACCAGACCCCCCTCCCCCCGCGTTTGCGGGGGCGCCTTAGCGTTAATTCGAAGATTTTTGTGGCGGCCATCCGCGTTGCCAGAGTGTCCCGCTGCAAAGGTCTGTCGGCCGTTCGCGCCAAGGCGCCCAGCTCCGCAAATGAAAACATTTTTGGCACGCAAACACTGATCATTTCCCCCCCCTTGCCGCCCAATGTCGGAACGCCGAATCCGTAATCCATGCCTGCGTGTCTCAAGCTCTGACCTCTTCCACCGCCCGTCTCGGTCTCTCCCCCCCCCCCCGCGGGCGCGCGAGAGCCGGCCTCCTCGAGGGCGGGTGGTTTTCAACGTGTGCTTCTCGTTTTACCGCCGCGCACATTCGTCGTACAAGTTTGCAGGAGCTTCACGGAGTGAGGGCGGGTGGTTTTCAAAATGTGGCTCTCGCCTCATCGCCGTGCACATTCGTCTTACAAGTGTATAAGGGTTTCACGGATTGAGGGCGGTTCCTTTTCAACATGTAGCTCTCGCCTTAGCGCTGCGCGCATTATTTCCAACGGTTCGCAAGAGTCTCATTGACTCGCATGTTTAACGTACCAGCAATGGTATTTCGGACCGCTTCATGATTGTCAGGGCGTAGCAGTTACGTTGATTCGCGAAGTTCAAGTCCCAGGAACGGTGTTCTGGCACGATTCAGGATCGCCACGACCTCACAATTAAGTTAACTCGTGATGTGGAAGTCCTGAGAATGTTGTTTTGGCACGCTTCAGGATTTCTATATGATTGTCCCCCAAACGGGACAATACACTCAGTGGAAATGAACCATTGTGGGGCATATTAAGAGGGAGCTTGGAGGGAGGATGTATTCCAACATCGTTGATGGGTCTCGGGTTTTCACTGGTCCCTCCTCCTCCTCCTCCTCCTGCTCCTCCTCCTCCTCCTCCTCCATTTTTTCTCCTCCTCCTTGCTCTCTCCTCCTCCTCCTCCTCCTCCTCCTCCTCCTCCTCCTCCTCCTCCTCCTCCTCCTCTGACGCCCTCCTCCCCCGCCCAGGTCCCCAGCGGACGCCCTCCTCCCGCGCCCAGTCCCCAGCGGGCACGTGAGAACCGGTTTCCCAGTCCTCGTCGCTGTTCTCCACCCGCGCGGCAACCTCGGCGCCGGGGGGGGGGGGGGCGGGCACGGAGGACGATGACAGGGCGGAGTGCGAAGAAGAGGAGAGGAGGGAGAAAGGGGTAGGAGGAGGAGGGGGAGAAAGAAGGGAGCAGGGAGGAAAAAAAGGGGATGCTGATGCTGATGCTGATGCTGATGATGATGATGATGGTGGTGATGATGATGAGGAGGAGGAGCTTGATGTTAATGGCTTAGGGGCGCCTGAAGCCCGTTGGTGGGTCCAGTTTGCTAGAGCACCTCTCTGAAGGGCACAGTGGCCCGATGAGGAGGAGGGGGAGGAGGAGGAGGAGGAGGAGGAGAGGAGGAGGAGGAGGAGGATGAGGAGGAGGAAAGAGGAGGAAGAGGAGAGGAGGAGGAGGAGGAGGAGGAGGGAGGAGGAGGAGGAGGGAGAGGGAGGAGGAGGAGAGGAGGAAAGGAGAGGAGAGGAGAGAGGGAGGAGGAGGATGAGGAAGAAGAGCTGGAGAAGGAGGAAGGTGGAGAGAGGAGGGGGACAAAGCAAGCGCGACCGTGCCAAATCTGATATGCTACCAGTCCCTCCCATCCCGCCCCCGTGGGCTGATTTTCACGATCCGCCAACGGGCGCCCTGGCGGACCTGGAACACCCAGAAGGACCCCATCTTGCCACTCGCAATGTGAAGAAATGAGGACGATGACGACGGCCACCAACGATACCAACCCCCCGCGGGCCTGCGCGCCACCGGCCACGCTGCGCCGGGGCCCGGCAACCCGCTCGGGGCCTTGCCGCCGGTCGGTCCTGCGGCCGGGAGGGGGAGAGGGGAGGAGGGGAGGAGGGGAGTAGGAGGAGGAGGAGGAGGAGGAGGAGGAGGAGGAGGAGGAGGAGGAGGAGGAGGAGGAGTTGGAGGACGAGGAGGATGTTCTTCACTGTGTGCATCATTAAGCCAAACTCTGCAAGCAGGTTAAAACTCGACGGTGAAATAAACTAAATTAAAGCTCTAGGGCACACTCGTCACCCCAAGAAGAGGCAGTCTGCTGAGGTGGCTTACCCTTGCGTGCTAGCTGGAGCGCCTGCAACTGCTTCGGGGAGGTTTTACGCGGGCCCTCGAGGGCCACATGGCCACCAATCAAAAGGTTGACTGGTCGCTGGGCGGCCCAGGACCCGCACAGACCACAAAACACATAGCGCCCTTTAAACCAGAGCTCGTGACTTGAATTCAGCTGCTGTCCCCCTATAAAGGCAGGGTGGGCAACTCTCTGGGGCGGATCCTCCAAACCCAAAAGACGCCCAAGCCACTCATCCACGGGGGCCTCGGGCTCCAAGGACGGGACAACCCTGGGGAGCGGGACGGGAGGCCTGGGAACAAGGGCGGGGCAAGCCGACAAAACGGAGGCCCGGAAACCTCGCGACTTCTCTCGGGCATTGAGGCCGCACCCAGAGCACTTCCAAGAAGTGCTTGCATCCTTGAACAACTGGTGAGACGAGGCTCGAAGAACTCAAGTCTGCGCTGCTTGGCCTTCTCTGTCCGGTCCACAATGCTCTGAAAGATAACGCGCGGGCGATCCTTCGGACGGGACGCGATCGCAACAGTGAGGGAGGCCATACGCAGCAGGATCGATTTCGCCGTCTCCTCAAGTGCTAGCACATCTCGGCAGGTATGAGACTGGATCTGAGCAGACTCGGCACGCTGGTCAGCAAGATTGTCCGCAGCACGATTGACATAAACATGCTCTGCGACCGACGTGCGCCAAAACCTGTGAAACTTGCCATCATTATCAAGGTGAGAAAGGCAATGCGCAAGATTAGTTTCAGCCGTGCGCAAATCTAGAAGGTGCCACAACTCCCACCACAGATCTGCATTGGCAAGGCGATAATTATGGTGCCTTCCTTTTATGGTAGGCGTTCACGTGGTTAATATGATCGCACACAAGAGTCAAGTCTTCCTTCTTGGCAACATAGCGAACGGCCTCAATCAGGCCTGTCAGCTCAGCCCTTGGGACCGTCTGCCTTTTGCCCTCGACCAGACCCGTGACCCCATGGCTCCAATAAAAACCATTCCTGGAAGCGCCAAGCCTGACGAAAGCGAAGGCCACCCGGCGCAGCACAGGATGCTTAGACCAAGCACCTCCTGCACCGTCAGCCCCGAAAATGCCTCCAGGGAAGGGTTCCGAGGGCTCACACCCGGCGTACTCGAGGAGACGCTGCTCAGGCGGAGGAGGGAGGGAGAACCAATCAAGAGGTATGAGCCCCCGGCCCCAAAAGATTGGGCAGGCGTCGAATTCGGCGACTGCCTCATGCCTTAAATGCTCACTGGCCTGGACCCGGACAAGCTCGCTATCGGCATTGCAAGGGCATTGCCAAATTCTGTGTTTGGGTGTTTCGGCATCACTCCGGCAGCGCCAAGGGGTCAGGAACGAAAGCGCACTCATGCTGTCTCTCTTCTGACCAAATGCCGCCACAAGCAACAACTCTCACCATGGCAGCCAGGTCAGCTTCACCTTATTTATCTAAATGCCTAGTGAGCTCACCTACATGCTGCCAAGAAACCCCTCGCTCAGCACCTTTCCCGAGATAAAACTTCGAGGCCTCGATCCACTGACTGGTCCCGATGGTGTCATCTACATCCTGCAGCAGCTGCGTGGCAGGACTGTCACCACCATTCACTAAAGCCAATTCCTCTGAGGAGGAGGAGGAGGAGGAGGAGGAGAAGAGGAGAAGAGGAGAAGGAGGAGGAGGTTAGGGAGGAGGTTAGGGAGGAGGTTAGGGAGGAGGTTAGGGAGGAGGTTAGGAGGAGGAGGAGGAGGAGGAGGACGGGGAGGGCGGGGACAGGAGGGAGGGGAGCCAGGGCGAGGGGAAGGAAGGAGGGAGGGGGGGAGGGGAGCCAGGGCGAGAGGAGGGAGGGAGGGAGGAGGAAGCAAGCTAGGTGCGCTCGCGTCATGTCCGACGTCCTACCCCTCCCTCCCATCCCTTACCATGGCGCAGATCTCCTCCCTATTCACACAATCGGATGTCGCAGCATGGCGTAGCATTACATGGCATTGCATGATGTTTAAGACTAACGCGTAGTATGACATAATTAGCAAGGCGTGGCGACATCCCAAAATGAAGGGGGGGCTTCTCGGGCCCAACGTATCAAATAATCGACACCGAATGTGTAATCACTTCCGATGGTTTCTTCGGGAAGCAATGTTTTAGATTTTGGGGCCTATGTGGAAGGACCGAAAACCATGCCGTGACATTGCACTGGAAATATGGCGCCAACGCTGCAGCGGGAGCACGATACGACTGGAAGCGCGGAAATGAGGCCAGCGCTGCAACGGGAGCACGATTTCGAACGAGCGGTAGCCCGAAAATGAAGCCAGCGCTTCAGCGAGAAAACAACAAGCGCGGAAGCGAGAACGCGTAGCCTGACATAGCATGGCGTGGCGTGCGACGCCCCAAAGAGCGCAGAAAATCAACGAATCGACACGGAATGTGTAATCACTTCCAAGGGCTTTTTTCGGGGGGCATTTTCTAAATTTGCGGGCCATTTCGGAGGAGGACCGAAAACCATGCCGCGGCATGGCGCTGGAAATAATGGCACCAACGCTTCAGCGGAAGCACGATTCGGAACGACTGAAGCGCGGAAATGAGGCCAACGCTGCAACGGGAGCACGATTTTGAACGAGGGGTAGCCCGAAAATGAAGCCAGCGCTTCAGCGAGAGCAGCATTTTGAAAAAAAAACCAAGCGCGGAAGCGCGGAAATGAGGACGCGTAGCCTGACACAGCATGGCGTGGCGAGCGACGCCCCAAAGAGCGCAGAAAATCAACGAATCGACACGGAATGTGTAATCACTTCCAAGGGCTTTTTTCGGAGGGCATTTTCTAAATTTGCGGGCCATTTCGGAGGACCGAAAACCATGCCGCGGCATGGCGCTGGAAATAATGGCACCAACGCTTCAGCGGGAGCACGATTCGGGCGACCGGAAGCACGGAAATGAGGCCAGCGCTGCAACGGGAGCACGATTTCGAACGAGCGGTAGCCCGAAAATGAAGCCAGCGCTTCAGCGAGAGCAGCATTTTGACAAAAAAACCCAAAGGCGGAAGCGCGGAAACGAGGACGCGTAGCCTGACACAGCATGGCGTGGCGATGCCCCGAAGTGGGGGGGGGGCGTCTGCGGCACAAAAAATCAAAGAATCGGCACCGAATGTGTATTCACTTCCAATGGTTTCTTCGGGGCGGCATGTTCTAGATTTTAGGGCCTATTTGGAAGGATCGAAAACCATGCCGTGGCATGGCGCTGGAAATAATGATGCCAACGCTGCAACGGGAGCACGATTCGGAACGACCGGAAGCGCGGGCGCTTCAGCGAGAGCAGCATTTCGAAAAAAACGAAAACCCGTTTCTGCGAAATCCTGCAAAAACCGGTATGCGGAGGGGGGCCGGCCATGTCCCGCACGCCACCAGGGGAGAGAGGAGAGTGGTATTCATATTGTGTAATTGTGGAGCGAGGGAGGGGAGGGGAGGGTGACCTTGGGGGGTGGTGGGGGGGCGCGGCGCGAGGAGGGGGGAGGGGAGGGAGGGCGAGGGGGAACCGAGGGTGAGCGCGGAATGGGGGGGCCCAGAAGTCAAGCTGCTGCAATTTGTGGGATGCGTGCGTGGGCCCTGGAGGTCTGGACCACTTCCCTGGGGCCAGCTTTTCGTCCTGAGTCGTTTTTGCACGCTCCCGAAACGTGGTGAGGAACCCCGGAGGCCGAAAACAGCCAAAAACTGCCTGCTCAATTTTTTGGGCAGCGCCGGATCGCTCAGCGCCCCTCAAACGGGGACTCCACTAACGGGTACTTTGGCCACTGACCCAGCGAGCCCAACACTTCCCGATGTGGGCAAAGCTGCAATGCCAGAAAGAGGCCCTAAAGTGGCAACTTTAGGCAAAATTGCAAAGTACCCGTTAATAAGTACCCGTTACGGTGCCGTTGATCGCTGGGGAGGAGTGATGGCCGGGGGGGGGGGGGGGATTTGTTGTCGGGGCGGGTTTCCTGCGCAGGGCCACGTCCGGGGCCTCGGAGGGCATCTCCGCCGCGGCCTCGGCGCCACCCCGCAAAGGGGGAGGAGGGAGGAACAAAAAGGGATAGCGAGGGAAGAGGAAGAACAAAAAGGGAGGGAGGGAGGATAGTGAGGGAGGGAGGGAGGGAGGGATAGGGAGGAACAAAGAGGGATAGTGAGGGAGGAACAAAAAGGGATAGGAGGGGGAAGAGGAGAAAGGAAGAGCGAGGAATAATGAGGGACAGCGTGCGGGGAAGAAGAGGGAGGGGAAGGGAGGAGGGGGAGGGGAAATGGAGGAGGAATGAAGAGGGGAGAGGGAGCGGAGCGAGAGAGCGAGGGGAGGGGGGCGAGTGGCAGTGGGGAGGAGGGAAGAGGAAGGGGGGGAGACAAAGGAGGGGGAGAGGAAGAGCCGAAATAGGGAGGAGGAGGAGTAGGAGTAGGAGTAGGAGTAGGAGTAGGAGTAGGAGTAGGAGTAGTAGTAGGAGGAGGAGGAGGAGGAGGACAGGAAGAGCCGAAACAGGGAGGAGGAGGAGGAGGAGGAGGAGGAGGAGGAGGAGGAGGAGGAGGGGGAGACGAGGAAGAAGGGCATGGGGAAGAGGGAGAGGAGAAGCGGCAAGAGGAGAGGGAAGAGCCAATGGAGCCAAATACAAGAAAGGGGAGGAGGAGCACGAGCAAAAATGCGGATCTGCACGCTTCGCCACGGGCGCGGTGCGCTCGCGGTGCGGCCCCCGCCCTCGTCCGTCCGTCCAGTGCCCCCTCCCTCGCTGCCCTCCCCCCCCCCCAGGTTCAGTCCGTCACGCCCCTCCATCCCTGCCCGCCCCCGCCCCCGCTCCCGTTCCACGTCCCTCCTTCCATCCCTCCATCCCCAGCCAATCCCCTTCTGCCTCCCTCCCCCCCCGTCCCTTGTTTTTTTTTTTTTCTCTCTCTCTCTCTCTCTCTCTCTCTCTCTCTCTCTCCCCCCCCTCCATCGCTCCCACCCCACCTTCCATCCATCCCTCGCGCGGCTCGCGACCTCCTCCCCGCGCGTTCCGTGTCTCCCACGCCCGCACCTCTCCCGCGCGACTCGCGAAAGGGGGGGATGGCGGTTCTATCGCGAACTCGAGCGGCAATCGCGCCGCGCGCAACGCGAGGACAAGGACAACTACCAGGCACAACGCCACGACGAAGCATGCTGGAGGACTAGAGGAGGAAGCGGAGGAGGTAAGACAAGGTAAGGCAAGGCAAGGCAATGCAACGCAAGGCAAGGTAAGCTGAGGTAATCAAAGTAAGGTAAAGTAAGATAAAGTAACGTAAGGGGCGGTACGGTAAGGTAAAGCATGCTAAAGTGAGGTAAGGTAAGGCAATATAGAGTCAGGCAAGGCAAGAGGCAAGGCAAGGCAAGAGGCGAGGCGAGGCGAGGCGAGGTAAGGTGAGGTAAGGTACGGCACGGTAAGGAAGGTACGGCAAGGTAAGGTATGGAGGAATGGTGAGGGAAGGTCAGGTAAAGCAAGGTAAAGTGAGGTGGGGTGAGGCGAGATAAGGCAGGTTCATGCAAGGTAAAATGAGGTGAGGCGAGGTGAGGCGAGGTAGAGGGAAGGCAAGGTAGAGCGAGGTCACGCCAGGTAAGGTCAAGAACGGCAGCTTCAGGCAAGTTAGGCCGAGAATGACTCGCTTCCCCCCGAACGTCACTTTAAGTGAGGTCGAGGCAGCGCCAGGCAACGGCGAGGGGCCGCTCGCCCTGCCGGACGGACGAGACGACGAGGCCCCGGGCGCGATGACCTGGGCGCGGGCCCGCCCGCCCAGGCGCTGCGGGGCCCAGCGCCTGGCCTCCGAGGCGCCGGCGGAGGGGCTGGACGAGCGCGCCCCACTGCTCGCAGAACCAGTGCTCGCAGAATGTTGCGATCGGATCTGCCGCGAGCATCCTACGATGTATTTACTTAATGTATAGAGGAAGGCCTGTTTTTTGTTCAGACGTTTGCTCGGAGGCATGTTGCGAGCAGTGGAGCGCGCTCAGCGAGGGACCCTCCGTAACTCTACCGAACATGTCACATGAAAAGGAAATGGGGAGGGACACCAGGCCGGCGTGGCGTGCATCCCCTTTCCAGAATCCGCGCAACGCAGGAAGAAACTGCAGTGGAGACTGATCCACGATAAACCTTCCACAAGAAACCTAGCCCTGAGACCCCCTGGCGCCAAGTGATTTGTGGGGTGGGGACGTCGCGTTCTCCATCGCAGAACCACTGAAACCCAAGAAACCTAAGGCACACTGGAGGCAAACGGGGCGTTTCTTTGCATGGCCCCCCCACTGTGCAACACCCAAGCCTGTTAAATATACAACCTGCTGATTCTCTACTTCACCGACACCTTGTCCTGGGAGTCGTGTGGCGCGAGCCCCGCCTCGTGCATTGCTACGTTTGTGCACAAATTCTGAGCCTACTATTTGTCCTCCCTCGGTCGATGGCACTGCACTGCGGTCGAGGCCCGTCCCCCCATCCCCGCGGCAATCCGTTGACGTGCTCGACGAGCTCGTCCATCTGGCACTGCTGTTGCCCTCACCCCTCCTTGCCCCTGAACGGCCAACTCGTGATCTCCTCGCCGACCCAGCACATAAAGCCGAACGCCACTGCTATCTTGTCCTGGTCGTTTGAAAAATGTCACGTTGTCGCTGCAAACGCTGCAAGTGATCAAATAACCAACTGTTTTCTACATGTGGCTCCGTCGGTACATGACAATCGTGATTGCACTGCGCCTCAAGCGTTGTTAGTTTTCATCCTGGGGCCGCTGCCAAACATATCCCGCACGCTCTCTGGTCGACCAACGCTTGCTCGGTCGAGTCCAACGCCTCATTTGTCCACGCCATGGCTGTTATCAGTTCTCCTCCTCTGTGACAAGTCCTGGGTATTCGAGTTTCTCTTGATTTTGCGCATCCTCGCTGTCTCAGCGGTTCCCGATGTTTTCTGTGCGTTTCCAAGTTGCATTGTACTGGCTGGCCTGGCCAGCGGGAAGCGCATGCAATCATGCGTGGGGTAAAACGGTATCAGGGATCTTGGGTTTCCCGTTGCGCCTACTACTTTTCAGAGGGGCTCTCTGGCGGGCTGGTGCTTGAAAACCGCCGGTTTGACAAGAATCATAACACGAACCCAGATAATACATCGACCCCTGCTAATACATGCCGTCCTCAGCGGTTTGCACCCTCGCAAACGTCGTAAATGTCCGCAATGCCCTTCCGCGCCCAATCACCTCGCACCCCGCCGTCCGGCCCATTCTAGCACCCATCCCCATAGTCGGCCGCGCGTTCGCACTCCCATGGCTTCCCGAAGTAAGGGTCTGGAACCTGATGGCCTCATCAGAGGCGGCTGCCGTAGTTGTTTGGCGACGCCTTCTGCTATCTCCCAGTTGCGGCCAGCGTGCGGCCTTACTGCTCTCCTTGTATCCATATATACATATATGTATATATGTGTCTCTCCTTCTCTCTCTCTCTCTCTCTCTTTCTCTCTTTCTCTTTTTTGTTGTTTTCTCTCTCTCTTTCTCTCTGTCCCTATGTGTGCGTATGTAAGTGTATCTCTCTCTCTCTCTTGCTCTGTCGCCGCTGTGGCGCCCCCCCTTGTTTCTCTCGTTGCTCATGCAGGGCACGTCGCAATCGCCCTCGTCTTTGGCCATATCAGCGTCGTTGTTCCCGTTGATGATTTTGCCCTCGTCCTCAGTCGCGGACGTTCAGCTTGAACCCCCGTCGCTTCCTCGAAGATTGCCTGGGCCGCGTGAGCGCTGGTCGCGCCGATGCCCCTCGGTCCTTCTTGCCAGCCTTGTCCTCGTAGTCCTTGACCGTTCCCTGCGCCGTGTTGGGCACCTATTTCTTGTTATCCGACATGTAGTATGCTGTCACTGCTGTTGCCTTCTGCGGGAGGGAGGAAAAGGAGCAGGATGACCAGTGTAACACAAGACTCATCAACGATGTTGGAACAAACCCTCATGAAGAGCCTGAGGGGTGCCAACGCATTATTTTCGGGACTCCAACGCCACGGAAAAACCTGATTGTTGCGTCTTGACGAACCTGAATTGCGCCAGGACGCCATGATTTCAACACCGCGAACCAACGTAAATGTCGCACCCCCAAAATCCAGCACCTGTCCAAAACACGATTTCTGGTACACTGACCTTATGAATCCGCGAAACTCTTGCAATGTTCAAAACGACTGCGCGCGGCGCTAACGCGAGAGCCACCTATTGAACACGAAACCGCGCTCAATCCGTGAAGCTCTTACACATGTCAAAACGATGCGAGCGGCGCTAACGCCGAGAACCACATATTAACAGGGAGCCGCTGTCAATCCGTGAAACGCACGCATTTGTTACAACGAGTGTGCGCGTCGCTAAGGCGAGAACCATATGATCCCGGCAAAGCAACCTAACAGCGATGTGTAGAAGCATATCTGAAAGCATTCCCCTTAAGATTCAGATGAAAATCCAGTTGTAGAATTCTGCTGTTCTCGCAGTCGTAGTCGCATTCGCGATGACAGTCGCAGCGGCAACGGCAGTCGCAGTCACAGCCTCAGCCTCAGCCTGCCTCAGCCTCAGCCTCAGCCTGCCTCAGCCTCAGCCTGCCTCAGCCTCAGCCTCAGCCTGCTTCAGCCTCAGCCTCAGTCTGCCTTCAGCCTCGGCCTCAGCCTCAGCCTGCCTCAGCCTCAGCCTGCATCAGCCTCAGCCTCAGCCTCAGCCTGCCTCAGCATCAGCCTGCTTCAGCCTCAGCCTCAGCCTGCCTCAGCCTCAGCCTCAGTCTGCTTCAGCCTCAGCCTCAGTCTGCCTTCAGCCTCGGCCTCAGCCTCAGCCTGCCTCAGCCTCAGCCTGCCTCGGCCGCAGCATCAGCCTGCCTCAGCATTCAAAATGTG